AAGTGTGGTCCATTCGCAAACTTTATAACTAAAAAAACTTTTCACTACTCTCTATCGACGAACTACTAACACTCTCTGCTGTTTCCTCCTCCTTCTTCCTTCCTTCCGCTGTCTTCGTTGGTTCATTTATACACGCGAAACGCGTTCTCTGGCTGGCTGGATTGTCCGCTCGGTCTGCCGTACATACATGGCGGCGCAAGATGGCGACCTCTCTAAAGCAAGGCCCTTGCTATATATATATATATAAGCATAATTATAAGGCTACGAAAACCAAACGAATTTTATTTTATAGCGATTATACACTTATATAAACATATTAATGGGTAGAATATTCAGATTCAGATTCAGATTGACAATAAACCATGCCAAATATTACACACTGGCCCTTTAAACATATGAGTGATGCTCTGTACATGTGAAAGTTTGCTTTCCATTTCTCATCAACAACAATGCCACCCTGGATATTGTCCCACTATCTACTAGTTTGACTAGCCCTGATCCAAAACCTTTGTTTCTGGCAGACTTTAAACTGCGGATGCTGAGTTTGACCACATACCACTGGGCACAGCAGATGGCTCTGTTCGTTCATGAAGTTGTGCAGCAGTACTTAGTTTAAGTGTAAAGTAATCATTAGACCCAGCAACTTAAACAAACTTAAATAATCCAGTAGTCCACCGTTGTTGTTATTGTTTCTAGTGCATACTGTTTACACACAGAAACAATGGGCATGTGCTGATTGAGGAGATGATGTCATTATTTCCAAAGCGGTTGGTTTTACATGTCCACATGGATAGAAAGTAACCCGAGTTTTGAAAACTCCTACCTTTGAAAACGCTTTTTCAAAAAAATCTCCATTTTAAAGACCTTAAACTACGTTTGGGTATTGACGAAAGGCCATAACACGGAGAAAAATATATGTTTACAAAAACATCTGCATACATGTAGCTAGGGCCTCAGTAGGTCCCTTTATATTTGCTGTTGGTATGTTTGGCAGTGTATGTGAATGATACCAGCTGACAGGAAGCAAACATGGACCCAAGCTGTTGCCTAGCAATGCAATTGAAATGTTCAATAGATTTTGTCGGAGGCCTGACTGGCTGCCAATACAGCTCAATACAAGCCATAAATTACTTAACATCCCTTTAACCTTTATCTCAGTATCTGTTAAACAAATAATGTCATCACTAATAGCATTCTGCCAGGTCAAAAACGATCAATGTGAACAAAATGAAAATGGTATAAAAGACTGTTTCTAAAGATCCTAAAGGAAACATTTAAAAAGTTTCACTGAATGGCCAACATAAGCCAAACAAAAACCGCTATTATGCAAGGTGTTACATTGAAAACAGTAAATATGATATATATAACCGTCACAACAACATGAATTCAAACACCCTCATAAACGTTCAAAAAGCCATTTTAACCATCAGCCATCCAGCTGGTCCATCCATCTCAAACACAGGCATCTGGGATTTGCCACTGTTTTGACAGATTTGTTCAATAAGATAAAAAACATGAAATACTGCTTTTAATTCATACTCAAGATGTATAGGTGGCAATTTCTTGGTTACAGCTCTGTCATGCTTTTCATGCCTCTAAATCCTCCCTTAAACCACCTCTCAAGTAGGATCAAGATTATCCTGATTTTCAGCATCAAAACCATCTGCCCTTGAGTCATGAGAAACACAGATATGAGTTCTGAGATTTATTAAAAGTAGAATTTGATTTCCAAATTCCTGGCCTGAGCAACGACGATTATTATTTTTCAGGTTTGGAAAAACCTCATTTTCAGATTTGTTCCAATTTGATTTCTTAAATCTTATCAGTAAAGTTGGGCTGGAACTGGATAAGACTTATCTGGAATCTTGAGCTGAAGAAACACTTAACAAACCATTAAAGATACACTGATGCAGGCGTATACTACCAATAAACATTTAGTTGTATGGCCCTTAAATGACAAACTGCTAACCAAGACAGTGTTAGTGTTAGTAGCCAGATGCAAGATGCAGGACTATGAGGCTGAAGCCATCGCTCAGTACAACAGTAAATATGGTGGAGTTTGTTGTGGGGTTGTTTTGTTTTTGTTTTGTTTTTTAAATCTTGGTTATGAATTTCAAGCCAGCATCTTTTGATGTTTTGGTTTTTTTTTTTACTATTGAATAAGTGGATGTTACCTGATAATTAAAGAACAACTACTCATTCATTGCAACACAGAATTTTCTACATTCAAATTATGCAACACACTGAATACTTGTGTTTTAAGGGACAAACTGGTCAGGTCACTAAACATCAACTACTGCCCTACTTCATTCTAAAAATATCAGTTCAAAAACCTGTATTAGTCAAACCCTACTTAATATCACTATGGCTCACTAACTCATTAAATGAGACCACCAACTGTGTTTTGATTAAATGATTAAACAGAGCACGTTCTTAAGAGGCTTTTGGGTTATTAACTTGTGTCTGAGACTGCACTATCACACATCAATATACAGAAGATCAGCGGGGGTCAAATGACTCATTATCATATGTCACTCAGTCCTTTTCACTGGTAATTGCTAGGAACAGGAAAATGAAAACGCTCATTTTCATCGTCTCAAGCCTTATTTGACCTGTGATTGTATGTACATAGACATAAATGTGGAGGCAGGACAACCATTTTTACTATCTCCTAACAGTGGACAGGAAAATGTGCTCAATTTATTTGCCACTGAAAGTCAAATGTAACCAAATTTTGGCAGTGGACGTTGTCAGGACAAGATTAACTGGTGCAACGCAGCAAAGGCACAGTGGCAGGTTTAATTGACTTTAAAGAAAGCACTCACTCAGCAGATGACAGCTGAAGCTAAAGGCCATGCCAGAGGCTTGGTGGCTGCACACGGTTTGGCTGTTAATGTTCGAGGCAGAACCACATCACCAGGAACCTTATTTTCAAACATGCAGTTTGTCAACTTCAGTGGATAGTGAGCTCCAACCAAAAATACCGTGCAGATAAGGGGATTATTTGCTGTAGCTCTTATCTCAGGATATGTCAATACCTCCTTCAGGACAAATACAGCTACAATGCAGGGCAGGAAGGTGCATATTCCACCCACAGGTTCTTTGGCTTTTCTCTTTTTTAAGCGTCTTTATAATTATTCTTCATAAGCTCTAGGTTGCAATCTTGTTTGTGTACTCCTACCTATAATATCTATACATTCATGGAAAAGGGAGGAGAAAAAAAAAGGAGAGGATATGATTCGGAGTAGGTATTATTCTAGTGTTTGTGACTCAAATGCCTTAAACTGAGCAATGAAAAACAACAAATCCAGTACTATGAAATGACCTGAAAAAGCAATATTCCCAGTAATTACATGTTATGATAAAACAGACAATTTTAAGGTTAAGTTATTTGTTGACAAGCTATTCTTTGAGAATATTTTACAGTAAATGCATGGTAATAATTGCAACATTTTTAGTTACACTAACAGTTCAACAGAGGTAAAAACTCTTCTGCATAAATGCTCTCTGAACCTTTCCCCACTTGCAGGCATATGTAGATTTGGGGCTAATTTTGGGTTCTTGCTCTAAAAATGTCTTGCACACAATTAAAAAACCAAAACACTGAGACCAGGATGACACAGAGCGGTCTGACTGCTCACCTTTTGCAGCCTGTTATCTGAAGGAAACGTTGCTAAATACGCTATTAAATTAAATTTTATCTTGTAGAACCATATGAAAGACATGCAACTTTTGGATTTTGTTACCAGCATGGCAACAAAAACGTAACATCTGTGTGAGTATCACCAGTTCCCCTTAGGTGCCATCGAAATAATCTCAAGAGGGCCTTCTTGTTAAAGGTAGCACAATAACATGTTGACAACAGCACATTTAATGTGAGGGATTAAATAGCTTTCACAGCAGAGAAACAGCACAACGCAGGCTCACATCTGATACACTGACAAGCTGCTTCAAGACAGTGAGTTCTGAACTACAGTACCTGCTTTGCCAACAATAGGGATGGTTCAGTGAACAGCTCAGTGAGATGCATCTCGACATAATTTCAACACTATGTCATGCTGGAGCCAAAATGGGACTGAGAATATGGTATGCATCGCATCACTGAGAATTTTTCATTTCTATGCTTTTCCTGTTTGGCTTTGTTTCAGTAGTTGGTTAATATCAGGCTGCGAGAGATGAAACATACAATGCCCAACTGAGCAAGAAACACTTTCTGGAGTGATGACAACAAAAGGAAAGCGAATAGGAAAGTAGGCCTACTAAAAAATACTGTTAAGGTTTAAAGGTGTTATGACATCACACCCAGAATTCATTGCAGCTTTGCACAAGATATTTATATTAATGAAGACAGCAACAGCTCTCGACATTCACTGCTCCCACTCTATTGCGTTTATGCCCTACAGAGTTGATCTCCTTTTGTGTCATCCCACTATTCAAGAAAATAGGCTACTGCTGAGCACATCCACAGTCTCCCTCCCCAGTTCTCTACAACAGCACAATGAGACTGCCATGGCATGAATGATAATTTGCCCTAAATGATCATGATAAATTTACACACAGAATATTTAGCATCAGCGATGGGGATTGTTCCTTTGACACCAGGACTGATTAGTCTGAAGGAGAATTATGCGAAATACGGCCTTATAATCTGTCATGTCAGGCCCCTATACTCAGACATGTCAGACCCTTATAGTTACCCCCCATGTAACATCTGTGTGTGTGATGGCTTCCATGTCCCTGAGAGGAGGAAAAGACACTTCGTGTGTCAGACTTGGCACGGGAAGCGGGAGGAAAACGGAAGAAAATGTGTTTCTACAACGTGACTGCATTCAAAGCCTGAAAACTGTAATTTGAGATATGAATTCATTACACGGCCTCTCATCAGTAGCCGGGGATAATGTGATGCAACAGCGCCGCTTAGCGTCGCACAGCGCCCTGCCTGAGCCGCTCTGACGGTGCCTTTCTCCCCCCTGATCGCCGTTACCGGCCGCGGTCCTTACCTTCGGTGTCACAAAGCGTGGCTGCTGCAGGTTTGCGGTCGCGGAGCTTTTGCGCCTTCTTCTTCGGAGTCCGTGCGATGAATGTTGAGTTTTACTGCCGTGGTCTGAGGGCCCGTGCAGGCAGCCACCGTGACCTGTCCGCTTACTGGCATTTTGGTTCCTTCTCACAGCGTCAGTGAAACCAGAGGAAAAGTGTTCAAACTTGATCTGCGAAAACAAGAAAATAAAAAAATGCTATTTGCTTTTTGCATTGCACCCCTACAAAAAAAGCGCAGACTTGTTGAATTTGACTCTTGCTCTATAAAAGGACGCGCGCCCACAGGCTGGTGCCTATATATATATATGAGCCATAAACATTATTACCCAATGTCATTATATTCCTCGTGACTCATAAGCGTTTTAACATTTTGAATTATATCAAACACCAGCTCGTTTCAAGTGCCTGCGCGTGTGTTCGTGCGCCTCTTGCGCGTGAGTGCACGCGCGGGTGTTATCTTATAGCCTGTGTTTGTGTATATATGGGAGCGCAAGTGCGCGCGCGCGTGTGTGTGGCTCTTTTGGGGATGCTGGGACACGGGCTTATTGGATGGAGAGCCTGCGTGACGAAAACACAAGTTAAATTCAAAGGTAGGATGGTGAACGGTGAGGAAGACAAAATAGTAGTGTCTCTCTCCGTGTGTGTGTGTGTGTGTGTGTGTGTGTGTGTGTCACAGAGAGAGAGAGAGGGGGAGAGAAAGAGAGAGCGCGTTAAAAACAGCCTGTGGCTCCTTGGCGAATATTCCCCTCACGCTCCTCTCTCCGGTGCCGGGCTTGTCTATGTAGGGCATGCAGCAGGTTGTGTGTCGGGGACTCGGACGAACGAAGGAGCGGAGAGAGGAACACAAACCAGCAGCCACCCCACCACCCCGCCTCTGCTCCACTTTGAGAGGAGAGTGAGTGTGCGGCAGATATTAAACCACTGAACCCCGACAATTGCTGCTCAATATCCGCGTCACCCCCGAGAGGACGGAGTTAGTTCAAAGCTGAGCCAAAAAACATACTAATTAAGCCAACTCACCCCATTCCCGTGACACATCTCTCCAGGCGGCCAGGTGGAGATGACATTGCAGCCTGTTACTCCATTCGGGTGCCCTCGGCAGGAGTGGGAATCACATACGACTCTCCTCCGTCAAATTAATCCATCAATTTCTCCTCCATCCAGTCTCCTCCAAAAAACACACACCACCACACGGATAAATCCACCTGTCTGCCTCTGAAGACCTCCCCCCCTCCACCAGCACCTCACCCCCCGGTAGATAGGTAGTATTCCTCTCGGTGAAGATGTCAAACACAGTCCATTCAGCGGCGGAGACAGACTCTGGGGAAAGGGGGAAGAAGGAAGCCGTGGAGGTGCGGGGATCAGTCAGACTCCACAATCCAAAATAACCGTTGGTTTGGAATCTCCAGCGGCAGCCCCGCGCGTTCCGCAGTGAGGGCTCGTGGACAGGTCCGCGCGCCTCCTCCTCCTCCTCTCCTGTCCTCCTCCTCCTCCTTGCGCCGCTCGCGGATTCTTGGAGACTGAAGGGGGGATTCCGTCACAAATAACATCAAAACGCGCACACACACACACGCGCGCGCGCGCGCGCATATATCCACACACTCTCCCTCTCTGCTTTTTCCTCACTCACCCTCTCCCTTCTGCTTCTCCCCCCTCACGCGCTCTCCCAACGAGCACCGCACTCCCCCCCCAAAAAAACCCCCAGAAAAAACACCCTAAACAATTGGGAACAAGTTTAAACGGGTCGAGTTATTTTTGTAGCTTTCTACGCCGCACGACTGAGGTGATGCTCCGGCAGCAAACCGAGCGCCCGGGCGGAGAGGAATAAGGAAATATTCTCCGGCAGTGTCTTTACCCCGCAGCCCGCCCGCCCACGCTTCGCTGGCTGAAGGTACTTACACATCAGCCTAGTTAATTAAACATATGGGCAACGGGCCTGAATGAGAGAATGATGATGTGGTGACGGGGGAGAGGGGGGTGGTGGTGGTGGTGAGGGGGGTGCCTTGGGTGACTTCATCTCCCCATTATAAAATATCAAAAAGATATGTGGCGAGTTATGAGGGCGCGCGCCGGGGACATTTTGCCATATCTAGCCCTCCCAAAAAGCGACTCCAACTTCGCAGTTCGTTAAAACTGATATGTCTCTTCCTTGTCTGTCTTTCTCGGGGTTTTCTGTCTCTCTGCGTGCCGCTTTTCCCGGCGTGTCTTCTCCAAAAAATGAAGACGCAAGAGAGGTATGGCGCACACCATCATTCGTCGTTTATGGCTTTACCTGGTGCCACCTTGCCAAAAGAAACCGCGTGCGCGCGTGTGTGCAAGCATCTATCTATCTATCTATCTATCTTTTTTTCCGTGTGTGTGTGTGTGTGTGTGTGTGTGTGCTGTGACGACTGTCTCGGCGTCAAACAAGTCACCGCGTCGCGCCTCCGCTCCTCGGAGCATCCACTGCGCACAGATAAAACATTTCAATATCCGCTGACCCAATCTAGTGGTCCCCCGTCACCGAAATTAAAAGACCGATGCCTTCAAAAAAATACCGCACCGAAACGTTTATTGCTGATGATGTGTCATGTTCCCTCGTCAGCGCCAGGGTTTGTTAAAAGCCACGAGTGAGATAAGGGAAAAATAGAGCCAACGCTAGTGAATTACACAGCCTCAATTAAACATAATTAGCAGATCAAAACTGCAGCACAGGGGGTCCTCGGGGAGTGCTGACAAAACTCCCCCCTCTCCCTCCATGCCTCTCTCTGCATCTCCCTCTGAGTGTTCCTTTGGAGTCCCATTGCAGACAGATGGTGCAGATACACATGGGGTCATGTTAGCAGGCCAGGGATCTACTACTAGGACTCGCTGTCATGAGCCCAGTTACACACTGAAGCAAAAAAAAAAAAAAAAAGGCAGACCAGAGGACTTACTATTAAGGAACACTTTACCTCCCTCCTCTTCCTCCTCCACCTCCTCCTCTATCCCTAGAATAAAAAATCTCCACCTGTTGAGGTATCCTCCTCCGTCAGAGCCCGAGCTCGGAGGCTTGGAATAAAAGAAACAGACGATTGCATAACATGGACATAAAAGAGAGGGATACAGACCACACTAGGAGTGGATGATGGTCTACTTTTCTTTTGAGGAAAGAAAATTCCTGGGGTTCCAAATATAATAGCTCTGCTTTTCTTTCATACCGTCCCACCCGCTACCATCTCCACCTGCTATTTACCCATTAGAGGCGTCCTGTTGGGACAGGCCAGACAAAGGATGCCCCTATGGGAACTGCAGAAGATTCTTTGTCATTAGCAGAGGCTTTCATTTTAAAGTCTATTAAAGTGGGGAAAGACAACTTTTACTTTAACTTATCATTAGTAAATGTAGATTGCACAATGTAGTGACTGTGGGTGACACCATCAGCATTTAGACTGGTTCCCTTTCACTTTGCAATTCGTCTGCCAGGAAAATGAAGGCTCGGAATACAGCACAAAGGAAGAGCATCAACTATTGTGCAACCAATTCAAGAAGAGGATAAGTCCTTTGCAGTTACTATCCGCAGTACTGGAAATGGTGGACGGAGGAACAACTTAAGTAACTGTGGAAACTGTAGTTGCTAGGCTCTGAGGAAAGCAGAAAGTGATACGGTTGTCTTTGCAACAGCAGCGCCAATGGTAACACATGAATACGCTAGGGGAAGAGGGGAGAGAGTTGTCTGTTTTCACTTCATGCAACAATTAGCCCCAACAGAGTATGGCTAAGCTTGTCTTATTCTATATTTAAGAATTAAACTGTTTCCAAGGAAGTAAAATCACACATTGTTCCAGGCCACCATAAATAAGCTGTTAAAAGCTGTCCTTTTCTTTATAAACATAATCTCATTCAAGGGTACGCACGCTTGCAGACCTCCCTGTAGTAATTTCTGGGACATGACCTTTTTCAGGATTCTTGTGGTGCATAGACTTGAGGATCTCTCTCTCTCTCCCTCATTTAGTATGCATTCATCTGATGCACACCAGCACAACAGTTGGACAGTATAGTGAGTCAGCTCTGCCCTGTTTGTAGACACTCGTAGGTCCGCAGTGTTGAAATTCTCTGAACATGCGTCCCTACTATTATAACTGATTTATAACTGCTGGGCTCAGTCATCATACATCTTTCATGGGCCAACAGCACATTGAACAGAAGTTACCCAGGCATGTCGTGATGCAAAGATGATGCCCCACGCACTCTCACATGGAGACGCTCAGCTCAGGTTCAAATCTGGCTCCCAGCATCCAAACACCCCGACGAGCCAGCTGCCTTTACCTCTTCATTTCTGTTGTCTGATTAAATTTCACAAGGCTGTTGCTAATAGCTGCCAGTATGTGATTATAAAATATTTGAAAAACAAGGGAGACCCATTATCACTGTGTAGTGCGTCAACAACGTGCCAACTATTTTGTTATTACTCCGTATAATTATTGAAGACAAAAGCTCATTCCACTAATGTTGTTTGGCTAATAGTCAAAGCCCAGTACTCCAATATTCCTGAAATGAATCAGAGGAAAGGAAAAGGAGTCCAATTAAAGCAGCTCCAACTATGAACCAGCAGGCAGGCTCACAAACAAACTGATAAATAAATAAATAAATAAATAGATAAATAAATTACAGGGAAGAGAAAACGATTACACAAGGCCTCTGACAAAAATGATGTGGGCAATTTTTGTATCCATGGTAACTGACTTTTTCAGAGTGTCACCACTTTTGTTTTGGCAGAGGCGCAACCCAGATACATATGGTTTATGTGTTGCGAACTGTGCTGGACTACACAAGTCCCCATTCACAAACAACTGGCCACGTTAACTGCTACAGGATGCCAGCCACTCATTCACAGACTGACGTACAGAGGATCCGCTGATCACACCTACCCAGCACACGCAGCCCCGCCGCAGCCAGCTCACTGCTGATGCAACTAATATGGAAATCTTTTAAAGCACACACACTGCTAATTAGCTGCATAGCTAACTGAAACCCACTCCATAAAAGCCTGTAACTGTCAACTTTGCTTAAAAATCTTTTTAGTAAGAAGCACATTGTTTCCATGACAACAAGACCTGATGGCACACTTTGGGTTGTATTTTTACTATCCATTTGTGTGTGTGTTTTTTAAGAATAGCATTGTAGATTTTGTCCTTTTTGCATTTTGAAGCAGTTACACCAAGTCCTTAATCCTGATCACTCGGTCACGCTCACATGGTTGACTGCCTTATTACAGCAGCTCCAGTAGAAACACAGACTTGCCCAGTTTTTAAAATGCACTGGCATCTTCATAGCAGCCTTCATACCAGGACAATCATGAGGGATTTGATTGACAGGTGAACACAATAGGAATCCACAGAAGTATGATTCACTGTAATGTTCCTATGCAACTAGAAGTAAGCTGGTTGGTAAAGAAAGTAGGTGGGCTGTGTTCGTTCTGATGACTGTATGATGAGCCTACAAGATAAATTCCTGTCTTTTACACAATGATCTTGACTCTTGTTCATTTTTTTTCTTCAGACTGAGGCACTGCCATAGCAAAGACATTGCATTGTAGCTACAGTACATGGCTTTATATAGACTCAGGAAATGAATCACTCCGTCAATAAATGGCAACAAAATAAACAGAAATTTATTCAAGGCTCTCTATCTGGAACAGAACGGTGTGATTGCTGGCATTTACCGAGTTATAGATATTCCCTCTCTCTAGTCTGTCTTTTTACTTTGTCTCCCTCCCTCTCTTGCACTCTCCACCCTCTCTCGCTCACTCGCCCACAGAGAGTGGGTGACCTGGAATGAGCTCTCCTACAGACGGCACTGCGTCCTACAGCCAGACTGGGGCAGTGTGTAGTGCTTGGATCTCAGGCAAGCTTTACACTGACTCTCAAGGGTCCACCTTGGCACTATCGTCACCCCCATTCAAATTTATGGGCACCTTTGAAAACCACTCATCTCCAAAATTGATGGGTGATTACTTCCTGTCACAGTGCTGATCACAGTGAAAAGTTCATGAGAGCAGCCGCCAAATCAATTAGTTGGGAGTGATGCACTGCTGTGTCTTTTTCACTTGGCCACACCAGCAATTATCCTTAGCTTGAAAAGGTCAGTCAATAATTTAATAATTAATTGCAAGAAAGGATTTAGAAAGTTTTGAAGGTTTAGTGAGACCTCTCCTCAAGAATAGTCAGTCCTTATTTTAACAACATAACCCAGAACCATTCTGGGCTGGAAGATATGAAATAGGTGAACTAAATATGCATAAATATGAAAATCTCTTCATCAATTAGGTATAGAATTTTGACTTTTTGATAAAGAGAGCACTTTAACTTAATCAGCACAGGCAAGTTTAGGAATTTGAATAATTCATATTTTGAATAAATTTAGGGCCAAATAGAATAATATATATTTTAAGAGCAGGGCTTAGTTAACTTGCCTCTCCAAATTTAAGCATGCAAAATGTCCATGCACACAAAGGGTTCATCTTGGGGTGGTTATCATAAAATAAATGAGAAAAATAAGCATGATAAGATAAAAAAAAAGTAACACGCATTTTGAATAAATAATTAAAATTTTGGGAATAATGCTTATTCTCTTTTTGAAGCTACAGTCAGTGGTTGGTTAGCTTAGTACAAAGACT